CCATCACGTGCTTCAGCCCGCACAACGTCAAAAAAGGAGGAGGAGGAGGAGCTCTTGCCAATTCAAGTCGATATCCTATCAAAAAGCGTCTTCCTTAGTGAACCTGGAGAAGGATAACGAGGAGAATGAGGGGGAGGCGGGGAAGAAGAAGGAGGATCCTGAGATCCTGGCGTCGCACGAACATAAAAATCGATGCATAACAGACAAACCAAAAACGCAAGGCGGCGCCGCCCTGCCTCGCGCCCCCGTGGCCCTCACGGGCTGCCGATCCGGCTCGAGGTGCCGCAGAGAGTGTGGGCCGAGGCTGCGATGCTTTCTCGCGGGGTCGGATCGCAGCGGAGGTGCCAGCGGACATGGCAGACCGCAGTCCGTCAGCGGGCACGGGTGACGCGTCAGAGGAAGAGCTCTCGGCAATGTCGGCGCCGACTGCGACAGGCAGGGGCCCGCCGGACGCCGATGCGGCGCTGGCGGAGTTGGCAGGAGGCGTGCTCGGAGGAATCTGTTTTTTTTTTCGGTTGCGACATCCACGCGTTTCGATGCCGCCCCTGTTAAGGTTAGGTCGGGCATGTCCCCCTACAGGCGGGTTTTGGACGAAAAATCAAAAATACTCGAACCGAGTCTACTCCGGATTCCATAATAAAGTCGGGGGGTCACATTTGGGGGGGGTCTGATTTGAGCTGTCTTGGAGGGTTCGGGGGGGTCTAGGCAAAGGGCCGCCCTTTCATGGATGGTCGGGGAGGGTCTAAATTTTTTCGTCTGGGAGGGTTGAGACCCCCTCCATTTTATTACGAAATCTGGAGTATATGTTCCTCTGTATGTATAAATATACATATTAGCATAGTGAATTATAGTATAGTATAGTAGTGCATTGTATAGTATAGTATAATATAGTATAGTAAAGTATAGTATAGTATAATATCGTATAGTATAGTATAGTATACTATAGTATAGTATAGTATAGTATAGTATAGTATAGTATAGTATCGTGTCGTATAGTACAGTATCTCATAGTGTAATATAGTATAGTATAGTATCGTATAATTTAGTATAGTAAAATCTAGCATAGTATAGTAAAGTATAGCATACTATAATATAATATAGTCAAGTATAGTATAGTGTAGTATAGTATCGCATAGTATAGTATAGTGTAGTATAGTCTAGTCTAATATAGAATCATGTAGTATAGTGTAGTATAGTATAGTATAGTACAGTATAGTATAGCATAATATAGTATAGTATAATATAGTATAGTATAGTATAGTATAGTATAGTATAGTATAATATAGTATAGTATAGTATAATGTAGTGTAGTCTAGTATAGTATAGCATGGTATAATAGTATCGCATATTATAATATAGTGTAATGAAGTATAGTATAGTAACGTATGGTATAGTAGACTATGGAATGAGATAACATATTCTATGATCGTACAGTACAGTATAGTATAGTACAGTATATTATGATATAGTATAGTATAGTATAGTATAGTATAGTATAGTATAGTATAGTATAGTATAGTATAGTATAGTATAGTATAGCATACTACAGTATAGTATAGTATAGTATACTATAGTATAGTATAATCTAGTATAATATAGTATATTATAGTATTGTCTATATTATACGTCCCCAGATTATGTTTGATTGTATGTGAAAAGTCCCCTTGTAGAGGGGCGTGCCCGACTTAATGTTAAGGTCCGCGCGGTCTGTTCTATGCAGATTCTGCGGGCCAGGGATTTGCACACGTCTACCGCCTGGGAACCCGATGTCATGGGGCCCCAGCGGGCGGTGGGTGTGAATACAGCTTGGCCATCGGCCTGCGAATTATGGAAAACCCATAGGTCGCCAGAAACCCTTAGGGAATCTGGCGACCGATGGGTTCCCCATAATCCGGAATCATGGGGAGCCCGTCGATGGACGACTGCCGTTTAGCCCCGGGGAAGCCGAAAAGCCCATATCCACCGCCTGCCGAGATCCCCGAAGGTCTTTCCCCCAGGCGGTGGCAATGGAGGAATCCCCGCCTCGGAAAGCTGTCCTCTCCGACTCCCCGCCCAGGCCCGGACGCCGGCCTGGTCGAGCCTGCTCCCCTCTGACAGGCAGGGCCCAGCAGGAGCGCCGCAGCGGTCGCGGCGCCCCCTCGGCCACAAGGAGGGCAGCAGCCCGCAGCGGCGACAACGACGACGACGGCCGCGGCGGCGGCGGCGGCGACGAGGGGCAGCGGCGGCGACTGGTGGAAGGGGTTGCCTGCGGGCCTCCCCGCCCCGCGGGCCGCGGACAGGCGGCGCCTCGCAGGGGCGGGGGGGGGGGGAGTGGAGACGGGGAGGCGGGGGGGGAGGGGCAGATGGGGAGAGGGGCAGGGCAGAGGCAGGGGGGGCAGAGAGGGGACGGGCAGGGGCAGGGAGGGGCAGGGGGAAGAAAGGCAGATGGGAGGGGGGGGGAGGGGCAGGGGGCGCAGGGGCAAAGGGGGGAGAGGGGAGGGGCAGGAAAGGGGCGCGAGAGGGGGCGGGGGAAACTGCGGGGGGCCCTGGTGCGCGCATTGCCCATGCAGCATGGCGATACGATGCTGATGGGCCTCAATCTTCACGAGCGACTCCCCACCAGCGATGGATCTGGATCCACAAAAGCAGCAGCTAAGCGCAGGCAAGAAATAGAATGTCGAGAGGCTGGCTCCACCTCGGACGCCACACGGCAGGTAAATTTGGAATGCAAGCACGTAAGGCTCAAGCCAGAAGCATGTATTGTGAGTGTCCTACTTGATCAGCGAGCACATGTGGCAAGCGCCAAGAAGAAGGCGAGAATGCACGCAACAAGCTAGGTGGCACGGGCGCGCGCTCGGACCACTGCGAATAATCTCATGTACATGTGATGATGGACCTCCACCACAACGACGATGACGACGACGACGACGACGACGACGACGACGACGACGATGACGCCGACGACGATGACGACGACGACGACGATGACGACGACGACGCCGCCGCCGCCGCCGCCGACGACGACGACGACGACGACGACGGCGACGACGACGGCGACGGCGACGACGGCGACGGCGACGGCGACGGCGACGGCGACGGCGACGGCGACGGCGGCGGCGGCGGCGGCGGGCCGCCGACCCGAGCGGCGGGGCGCGCCGCTGACACAGCCGCGCACGGGGCCTTCGCGGAGGCCAGCGCCACGCGCGGGTTCTCCAAGGGCACCTCGCCAGCGGGCGCGCCGCCGGCGGTCCCCTGACATGGCTCTCGGAGGGCCCTCGGCGGCCATCAGAGGCCCAGGCAGCAGCGCCGTCAGTGTCGCCGTCGCCGAGTCAATCGTCGTCGTCGTCGTCGGTGGAGGAGGACGGGGAGAAGGACGAGGAAGAGGAGGAGGAGGAGGAGGAGGAGAAGGAGGACGAGGAGGAGGAGGGAGGAGGAGCAGGAGGAGGAGGAGGAGGGAGGAGGAGGAGGAGGAAGACGACGACGCAAAGGAGGAGGAGGAGGAAGAGAATGAGGAGGAGAAGCAGCAGCGGCAGCAGCAGGAGGAGCGGGAGGACGGGCGGGAAGGAAGAAAGAGTGGCCATATGGGAGAGAGCGAGGGAGGAGGAAGACGAGGGGTAGCGACCAAGAGGAGGAGGAAGAGAGGAGGAGGACGACGACGAAAAGGAAGTGAAGGCGATGAGGAAGCGAAAGGAGGAGGAGGAGCAGCAGCAGCAGCAGGAGGGAGAGGAGGAGGAGGAGGAGGAAGAGGAGCGGGACGCTGGTTTTCTGGTCCAACGCCATTCGGGCTGGTAAGATCTTCGGCATTCTGGCAGGACCGCCTTGCGAGACGTGGTGCTCCTCAAGGTGGCATGCCCTCGAGGGAAGAGCCCCGCGACCCTTGAGAACCCACGAGTACCCGTGGGGTGTTCAAGCAGCCAGCCAGACGGAACTGCAACAGGTAGCACTGGGCAAGGACCTCTACAGAACGGCCATACTGGTCATCAAGGCGGGTCTGAAATATGAAGTATCAGCCATACTCGAACATCCAGCTCCTGCCACCTGGTGCCCGCAAGCACCGAGCAACTAGCACAGAACGGAGACCAAGTGGCTACTGGACCAACAAGGCGTGGAACTTCACGACATCGACCAGTGTCAGTTCGGGCAGACAGTACAGAAACCAACATGCTTACTTACTAGCTGCGCACCTACGCGAACTACGGCAAGAGTTACGGGCAGTACCTGGAGGGCAGACCTGTAGGCACAACGGACATGACCGAGCCTACGGACGCGACGGCAGAGGTGGATGGAAGACGGCCCCACTCAAAGAATCCCCGTCGAGACTGTACAGAGCCGCGGCTGCGGCTTTCGCGGCGAGATGGGGACAGCCGGCAGACGACAACGCACCATGGGCTGCAGCAGCATCATCATCATCGTCGTCAGCATCATCATTAACACTATCATCACCATCATCATCAGCAGCATCAGCAGCAGCATCATCATCGCTATCACCATAATCCTGTCCGCATCTTCCTTCTCTACCCAGGCAGCACGGGCCCTGGCTCGCCTCCCGAGTTTCTAGCCGTCACCTAGCCCTTGTGAGCTGCGCGTAGAAGCAATGCAAAAATATATGACCATCCTGCATCCGCCGTACTCCATCCTCCGTCCTCTATGGCCATCCTCCTTCTCCTCCTCCTCCTCCTTCTCCTCCTCCCTCGTCCTCCCTCCTCCTCCTCCTCCTCTTCCTCTGCCTCATCACCATCACCACCACCATCATCACCACCACCATCATCACCATCAGTACCACCACCATCCCCACCACCATCACCACCATCAGCACTAGCATCATCATCAACATCATCATCATCACCACCACCACCATCACCATCACCATCACCATCATCATCACCACCACCATCACCACCACCACACCATCATCATCACCGCCACCATCAACACCATCATCACCACCATCATGACCATCTCCCTCAACCACTCCATCCTTCCGCTGGTGCGCACGGAGGCAGCAAGGCAGGGGGTGGCGC